AATATACATTGATCAACTCATTTATTGGAGATGAAAATGATTATGAATGGTACAAACAACTCATATTTTTCTATCGATATAATCTTAATACTTTTCATATATTTAGTCAAATCAAAATGATCATAATACATTTAATTAACTCATTTTTTATATTAGGTAAAATTACTGTAAGTAATACTTTATATATTTAATGTGATCTCATATTTTGGGTTGAAAGGACACACAGTAGGCCTGTTTAGTCAACTCCTATGTTTTGGTCAAAAGACCATGTTTCTGGTAGTACTGACCTTGTGACCAAAAATAAATTTCACTTTGTTTATTCAGTTTTTTATTAGTTGCACATGTTCATAACAAAGCAGTGATATAATAATGTATAAATTTAGGTGATGAACGAGTAGTAATTAATAAGCCACATATAAATGATTTTATACATGATATTTATTAGACTAGGTAGGTTAGCTCTGTGCCAGGACTTACACTCCAGCAGCTGGCTAATATTAACACTTTGTCCATATCAATAACAAAATTAACAAGATGGCAACTTTAGAAATTTGGCAGTGAAAGAAACTTTCATATACCTCCCAGTTGGTCGAGAACCGTAAATACAAAGTTTATCAACTATTTAAAATTAGTAAGGGGGCAGGAAATCTGATTAAAAGAGGGAAGCATTATTCAACCTCAAAACTCCATTATGAAAACTCAATCCACATGTTAATGAATAGGCATTCAGACTGACTAGTATGCTGTTATATTCCACAGTACTTGTACTATAATGAACTCTGTTATAGAAGCCTGGTTGCCACCAGCTCACCACCCACCTGCCACCTTAACTCACTCTGTGTCACCCCTGGTAACTGACAGGTGCTTACACTTTTCTTGTCAAATTGGACTAATTTTCTTTTCGAGATTTTCACGAAACTGTTCCTGATAGTATTGGGGTTACTAGAGGTCAATTTTGATATTGTGTGCACTTGATTCATAAGGTAAATCCTATGGGATTTTTTAATATCTAGGAAATTTTGGTTCTGTTGGAAGGATTGACTATCATGATCCACTTTTTTATTCACTGTAGGCCTACAATGGGCATGTTTCTACTGGGAAGAAAAAATCGATGATAAATTGCTTTTTCAAAAAAAAAATTGCTTTGTTTCTTGTTATAGAAATAGGACCAGTTTGAAAAAAAGCGATTTATAAAAAGTGATTAAAAAAACACAATGGATAGCATGTTTGAATGGCAAATAACCAATTTTTGGCTGTGCACTTATTAGCTGCATCACAAAAAGCGATTATCATCAGGTTAAATGTGACCTTCCACTGCAAAAACCGATTTTCGTAAAAACAAAAAATGAAGGCTCTCCGGGCTCTCATAAAAAGGCGGTTTAAAAAAATTGATTATCTTGGCATTTATCATCAGTAGAAACACGCAAAAAGTGAAAGAGGCCTACTTCTGTGTTATGTATAATGAAATATCTGTTATTAATCATGTTATCAATATCATTTTTATTGTTAATGTTATTGGCTTTTTGTACAACAACAGAAAAGCCATTATTTTATTTTGGCTTCTTATATCTATCCCATTTCTCTGTTTGTAGATCATTGTAGGCTGGGTTCCAGTCCCTAAACTTATCAGTGAAAGAAAACTATTAAAAATAAAACTATTTTGGCACCAATGGCGTTCCATAGTACTTATTTGCATGGCGTGTAATAATACTATATTTTTTCTGGGATTTTCCATCCAAATTCAACAACATAACAAGGCAGACACTGGTGGTATTCTCCGATATTATCAGACACCACAAAAAGTCAATAAATTAGAGACTTGCAGCAAGTCTAATCTACATGGCACTTTGGTCACTTTCCGTACTTGGATCTTCACCAAAGATATACCTAATAAAATATGTAATTCCACATGTAACTGAACTAGAAGGTTTTTTATTGTATTTATTTTATTTAAATTTTCATCCAAAAGCGAGGCACCCGCGTTACAGAATGGAAGCATGAAACAATCAAGACAATGGAGGAGAACAAATCAATTACAAAATCAACAATCCAAACAACTAGATACATACAGTAGCTTCATTTTACATTTAAAATATAACGTAATAAAGTACATTCCATGTCAAAATTGTAATTTAAGTTGCCATGAACTATGTCATACTGTAATTCAGTAGAAGAAACATGATAATTATTATTCATATCATATCATCTGTAAACATATTTTTGTTTGCATTTTGTTAATATTTTAATTTTATATTGATATAATGTTGTCTGTATAAATATAATGCAAAAATGATATGATGCAATAATAAAGTGATTAAAGAAAGAAAAAGATTAGGCCAAAGTTATGGACTGTATTAGCAGTGGCGGCTGTAGGATATATTTTCTGTGGGGCTAAACTGTTCGACAGTGGGGGCTGAGTGAGATAAGGTTAACTTTGGCGTGCTTTGTCCTCCTAGGGCCTTCTGACCGAGCCAGGGAAGGGTTAGGGCCTTCTGACGGAGCCAGGGAAGGGTTTCTCTCGTCCCTAAATAATTAGTTTTTTTATAAGGTACCTCTGGATGGTCGGAAATGGCACTTTCAGACTTGAAAAATACTTTTAAATGTAAAGTTGATAAAATATAATGTTACTATACTCTCAAACTCAACTCAATAAATACACATTTCATTTTCATTAGGCCCATTTGTTTTTTTTGTTTTTTTGGTCCGACTGCCCAACGATCTCTGGATGGTGGGTGGGGGATAGACCTGTCCGATGGGGGGGCTTAAGCCCCTGCTTCCCCCTGCTGGCGCTGCCCATGTGTGCATTACTATTAAAGTATAGTTTTCTAAAATTTCATTCGCAAACAATTTATCTACTTTACAGGTAATTTATAATAATTACTCTCCAGGAATCATATCTCATTTGTCTTTGCTGTCAATTATTTTCAATTCAGATAGAGATTAAATTCTAATTAGTAATGTAAGTGGCCTGTAGGGTTCTTAGTGAATCTCCAATAACAAGGCCACATGTTCAACCTTTCTTAACTACCCATTATTATTATATCTAACAGTCCTTTAGTTCCTGTACTGTAGTTTTATAATACATTCTCGCAAAAAAAAATTATTTGCAATGTATTTATATTCTTTTTCTTGTTTGTTACTGTGATTTAGGTATTAATTAATTTTTTTTCTTTTTTGGTGTATTTAATTTATAGCATACTAACATTTATACAAAATTACAAAATAAACCATCGCAGTACCTTTTAGTGCAATATGTTAGCAGTGACTGATTCAAGATGTTGGGGGGGGGCCCCTCTCCCCACTAAATTTTTCAAAATAAAAAAAAATTTTTCTCAAATTTTGAGTGTAAAAATTGCCATTGTAAATTTCCTTACCTCGGGTCCAACCATGGTGGGGCTGAGGTAGTATAGACCCTCCATCTGTAAAAGTACCTCTCCGGCACCCTCTCTATTTCAATTCCTGGATCCGCCATTGGTTAATAGCTTGTTCCTTTTTGTAAAAAAAGCTTTCCCTCCCCAATTCTGTTTACAAAGATGGGTACCGTGCATACACAGTCATTAGACATACATACACATGGATACACTATGAAATGAAATATAGTACTAAGGTAAAATTTTGGAGAGAAAGAAGTTCTAAAAATAGAAACTAAGGTCGTTAGAAGCGTGTTGAATATCAGATAACGTCCTCGTCATTAATACTAAACTAATAATGTGTGTAAAATTATTAAATATTTCGTTTAAGCAGCACGGAATTTAATATCCCTCAAGGAATATAGTTTACTCTTATGAATAATGTATTAAGACATGATAAAAAAAAAGTATTTATATTACCAACAGTAATGTATTGAATCATTTTGCCAATGTTGGCATAATTATCTTATGAAACCCGGTACTGTACTGTTATGTTTGTAAATAAATGATATGTTTAATTAAATTAATTTTAGTAATAATTTCATTTATTTGACCGGCCAAGTACATACGAAGTATTATGTTGACACACATGTTTTATGAGATGCTTAAAGTCGTTTGTTACATAGAATTAATTTTTATGTGTTCGTGAAAATGTATAAGCTACGTTTGAATTGTCAATAGGACCAAAATGTGTCATTTGTAAAATAGATTGTAGTATAATCATCAAAGTTAAGCGTATTCGTATGAACAAATTTGTCATTTTACCCTAAAGAAGTAATCTCCTATGAATAAACTGCATGTTTTTTACATTAATATCACAAATGATCATCCAAGTAATATAACTGTCTCTTGGATTTATCTTACTAATGATAATCTTTATATAAGCGTAGGTAATTTTTTATATTCCCAGAATGATGCTGAAGAGAAGATATTTCCCGCCCCTATTTATATGCTATATTTCTCTATTCAATATCATCACTTTTGTAACATAATCAGGGACATCTGATATCATAGGCCCCCTTTGTGTGATAAATATTGATTTGTCCCCCCGGTGAAGATGAGTTAACCTGTCTCTATACGAACCCCAGGAGATATACAGAGTCTATGCTTAGCTCTCTGTGACTAGAGCTATTAATTGTGCGGTCTGAAACCATTTTTATTGTTACATCATCGAGACATGGCATGAACACTTAGCAAGTGTTTTAATTGTGGAAATGTAGTCACAGACGAGTCTTTATGGTTAGTAGATGAAAGATGTCTCTTCTTGATGTGGATATCTACCCGCTACTTTCCTCTTGGGGGTGATGTACTGCTCCTAAGGGTAGTGCAAAATTGGGTATTAGAATATTATATCACTATTTTATATTACTAGCAGCATTTTACTGAACTAAGATGAAGTGATTTTATAGTATAGAGACAAGGTCTGTCTTCATGCTGCCACATTTTCTTTCTCCTTCCCCCTGGGGTGATGTTCCTCTTCTGATGAGGGTGATGAAATTTTACCTAAATCATTTATGTCTGGCACATGGTTTACAATTTTACAGACCTGCAGTGATGATAAGTTATTTTAATAGCAATTGTCTCTTCTAGGTCAGTGAAATTTGGATAATGATGTTGTCTGACACTACTTGGTACCAGCATTTTTATGAACTAAGTATGGATGGAGGAATAAAATAGGTTGATGAGACCTTTTAATGTTGCCTCAGTTGCTCCACTCTGGCACTCTAGGGGATGATGTCTGTCTCTGTGGAAGTTGTATTTGAAGGTAAATTTTTGCTGAATAAAAACTAATGTGTCCTTATAGTTGTGAGGCAGGAGGTGTTTCTTCATGTTGCCACTGTTCCCAGGGGCGGATCCACAATTTTTCAAACAGGATGGGGAAGGGGATGCAACAGTTTCAGAATAGGTGATTGGCACATAACATTGATGTGCATTGAAGTATTTTGAAAATTGTGACAAAACGGAAGGGGGATCGTTCCCCCTACTAGATCCTGGTTCCTCACCTTGCACTTACTCTGAGACTGATGTCCATCTCTGTATTAAGATAGTGATTAGAATTTTAATTTTACTGACCAAAGATAAAGATTCCTACAGATTTGATTGCCACAACTTCTCCCTTTCCAGGGAGAGTTGTATTCCTCCTCCTCATTGCTCAGATTGATAATTCCTTCAACTTTTTAACGTCAAGCATAGGCGACACCCTTTTCGTTCTGTCTTCTTGGCCTTGCCCCTCTGATTTGTTGGTCAGACCGCCTAACGTTCATTCTCTAATGAATCATCTCCAAATTCCATCTTTATTCCTAAACGTCAATGAATGACGTATCGTTGATTGTTTACTATGGCTGCCCGCTGCCATCTAGTGGTGTATTAAACCTTGCCTTAACTGTCCAACTATTAAAATTAATTATAACACAACATGTTTGGCCCTAACAGCATATTTGAACCGGGGACCCCAGAACTTCTGTGATGGTTATAGGCCTTAGAATTTGAGTGAGCTACTGTGGCTGGCAGTTTTATAGTTTCATGTTGATATATGTGACTGACAGTTAAATGTGAACATTCTTATGTTATATATAGTATTGCACATGACCTATTAGAAAAACAAGAACTGTAAACAAGTACTCACTTTAAACTCTATTAATGGAGCAGTCCTACTAGTTTACCTCACAACTAGTAACCATAATACCATTCTCCATCAAGTGCAATGAGCATCTTGTTTGATGAATACCGGCACTATACAAATCTACATTATTATTATTAATTTTATAAAATCGTGTCGGCCGACATTTGTCGCGTGCAGCGGGTGCCCGGCTTAATAGGACTCATGGGACGGCATTAGATATCCTGGAGCGTGGACCTGTGGTTTGCTAGTTAAGAAGCTTCACTTTTGAATTCTAGAGAAGCTGAAGGTCCTAGGTTACTTGGCATTACAAGTATATCTCAACAATCATAAACAGCTTACAGCTCAAACCACATCAAGTTACTTTTTTAATGAGCATAGATGGCCCCAGAATGATAAGCCTTGCTGTGTGGATCATCCTTGTAAATATAGTATTTAAAAATAAATTTACCCCCCATCAAAATACACTGCATTAACACAACTATCAGGGCATGCATGCGGGAGTGGCGCTTTAAGAATGACTATCTTGAATTTTACAGCTATTGAGACCCTTGTCTTTAATTCCACTGCAATCAATTTATCAACACATTCACACACATTATGACCCAGAATTGTGAAGTTTATACTAAGAAAGCTGGCAACATCATTACATGAAACCTCTTAGGGTGACTGCAAAACTTGGCAAGTTCAACTAATACAAACTTAACCTCTGAAAGTCTGATACTCCATCAGACATGAAGATATTTATGGCGCAATGGCTGGTGTCATATTGTTCCATGTGAGATCTTGGGTTGCTAGACTGTACTCTCCAACTGGAAACAACCTCTCCCTATTGTAACCATTGATAAATAATTTATGGTAGTGATATTGTATTATTTGTATAGCTCTAGAAATATCAAAGGGTAAAGTTTTTATTAGTATGTCAACCTTTAGAAATTTGTTCAGTTGATGTAGATTATAAATTAAACTGACATATTACATAGTACACCAGCTGTGATGCAAGACATTATTAGTACTATTTATTGCTAAAATAAAATTCATGCAATATAAAAACTTTTGAAAATATTTATAGAAAGTAGGCCTAGGTAGGAAAATCTTAAAATTTGATGCAAGTTAAATTCCCACACCTCCAAATGTAGGTGAAGAAAATTATGTGTTGAAACGATATTCATACAAAAAGCAAGTTGGAATTAAGATTACATTGGGCAAAAAATGTAAACAAGTACCAAGAAGGTGATAATAAAATCACTTAATCCTATCATCCCAATGTATTAATTCTAAAAACAAATTTATCAAAAGTAAATACAAGGAAATGGCACAAAAGAAATTGTTAATTACTAAATTGTATAATATTCAATGAAAAATGAAAACAGTAGTAGTGAAGATACATAATTACAGACGTTACATGGTAAAATGAAACTGACAGTCAATCCATCGCTAGGATTTGCCGGTAAAGGCTGACTGCAAACTATTGTATAATTTATCAAGATCAAAGCTGTAGAATAAAAAATTTCAAAAGTAAATACAGTGAAATAATGGCAAAAAAATGATGATTACAAAATTGTATAATAATTCAATGAAAAATTAACACAATATTAGCGAAAACACATAATTACAGACATAACATGATAATGTGGTACTTAAAGTTAATTCTTTGCTAGGATTTGCCGGTAAAAGCTGTTTCACACTATAATTTATCAAGATCAAAGCTGTAGAAATCACATGTAAATACAGTGAAGTAATGGCAAAAAAATGATGATTACAAAATTGTTTGATATTCAATGAAAAATGAAGACAATAGTAGCGAATACACATAATTACAGACATTACATGGTAATGCGATACTGACAGTCAATTATTTGCTGGTAAAATAATCGCTGTAATAGGTCCATGGTATAATTTATCAAAATCAAAGCTGTAGAAGAACAAATTTATCAAAAGTAAATACAGTGAAATAACAGTAAAAAAAATGATGATTACAAAATTGTAATGTATAATATTCAATGGAAAAGTAACATAATACAGTTGTAGCAAAAACACATAATTACAGACATTACATGGTAATGCGATACTGACAGTCAATTCTTTGCTAGGATTTGCCGGTAAAGTAAAGGCTGTTGCAAGTTATTGTATAATTTATCAAGATCAAAGCTGTAGAATAACAAATTCATCAAAATGTAAATACAGTGAAGTATGGCAAAAAAAAATGATGATTACAGAATTGTATAATATTCAATGAAAAATGAAGACAATAGTAGCGAAGACACATTACTACAGACATTACATGGGAATGCGATACTGACAGTCAATCCTTTGCTAGGTTTTGCCTGTAAATAACGCATGAAATATTACTCATGTAGGAATTAAACAGGCAGCCAACATCACCGACAGCATGAGTTGGTACACATATTATAACTTTTGAGCGGGCATAGCTAACTAAGAGGCTTTTAGCCTCTCCAAAATCACTAGAGGTTTACCCCCTTCTAAATTCAAGAAAAATTTTATTTTCTGATTAATCAAATTTATTACTTTGTATATTTAAGTATGTTATTAGTTTTAATTATTATTAGGTTATAAGATAACAATTTTATATTTATATTTTTATATAACTTTTATTGCTGCGAAGCAGCCAATTCATATTCTTAACAGCAATTTGACCTCTGAAAGGTCATTGTTTGTCAAAAAATAAGGGCCTAAGACGACTGAAAAGCGGAGTTTCCTTCTTTCGTTTTGCCGGGTAAAATCAATTACTTTAGGCGACGTTTGTAGACTAACCAACACATACCAAGGTCCGCATGTCGCGCTAGCCTAGGCCAAGACTAGCTAGGATGATATAGGCCTAGCCTTGAAGGGACGAAGGTCCCAATGAAAAACAACGTCGCTCCTTGAAAGCTAACATTGTCTATTTAACATCACACAATAATTTAACATTAGACCTATAGTTGTTTTTTTAATTGTACTCCACAAATCTCAGCCAATACTTCGCACAACTCGTTAACGTCTCGTATCTATTGTCGTGACGTCATGGCTCGCCGGCTCACACTTGTGTGATGTCTCGCACTTGTGATCAAATAACACGCTGGCTCGCACTTTGGCAACACTCTTTGGCAGTCAACTCGCCCCTAGAAAACCCACCCTTGGAAACTTGCCCCATAAAAAAATGTACACTTCCTAGACCATGCTCTCTTCAAAATAAAAATTGTAACCTTTGGTAATCAACTACATTTTCCACATACATAGAAATTTTTGAAACTTTATTAAAAAAAACCTAAACCATAATTCACCACTATAGACACTTTTTGACAAAAATGAAAAATTTGTTACCCAATGAGAAGTGTTCTAATATAGACAATGGGTCATGTTTCATATTATTTGTTATATTTTTATTATTCATTATTTTCAACTGACTTGCATAATTTTGTTCGCAGAACATTTATATGCAGTTGTACTTCGCAGCATTTCACTTGCAATTTGCAATTTCTAGTTTTATCTGTAATTCTATATTTCATTGAAAAAATTTAATTGTTTTGATCTATGTTTATTTTATTTTATGATAATTTGGGCATATAATACAATATTCAAAACATTATATAGCCCAGGAGACCAAATAGTGCTTGCTAATAGTAAAGGCTTTCTCATATTATATGCAAGATAATAACTTATAATCTTTTTAAATGAATAATTTTCCAAATGTTACGACAGATAGTTCAAATGAATTTGATATGGGAAACGATTACCAGCTTCACTAGCAGGGGTAGCGCCAGCGGGGTGGGGGGACTGAAAAACTACAATTTGTCTTGGAGAAAAAAATGTTTATGTATTTATCACCCCCTCCCCTGTCGGGGACCTCGTTGGGCAAATCTTGCCGCCACCACTGTTCACTAGTAATATATAAAGATGACGATACATTTTCAATAGCTGGAGAGGAGTGGAAAAAATAGCGGAGGTAAGTAACATTCAACCCAAAGAGGTATTATTCCACCTAATCTCACTCCCAAGCCTGCCACTTGATCCCTAGGCATGGCACTTAATCCACCATGATGAATATGGGGTATTTATTAGAAAGGCAATGTCAATTACAGCTACATTATGAATACCCCTAGGAGCAGTAAGTGTTCCATAGGTGTTTGACCTAATGACCAGGCTAATTATTTGACCTTGGCAATAGGACCAATATATTGTTGTTGTTGTTGTTGTTGTTGTTGTTGTTGTTGTTGTTGTTGTTGTTTTATTATTATCATTATTAATTGTTATTGCTTAAACAATTTTCTCAAGAACCATTGTTG